GAGGAGAATGGAGAAGAAGGGATTGCGGCATGGCCATCCCCCCTGGGGGGTGATTTCTAGCTTTCTATCTCTCTGTCTCTCTCTGTCTGGCGAGCGCATGCGAGCATGCGACCTATAGCCAAAAAAAGAAAAAAAGAAAAAAAATCGGAACCTTTTCCAAAGTCTGGGTTTCTAACTTCTGTTCACAGGGTGTTGGGCATAGTGCGACAACAGTCAGGTGGAGCTGGGCTAGCCAGCCCTTTCCAATGAGCATGTGTATTGCAGATGGTCACAGTCCCCACCTTCCCCTGATGTCTCCCTGACACTGCAGCTGAAAACCAGTTGCCGTTTACTGTGTGTGTGTTGATTTATTTTAGGTGATATATATATGTGTGCATAAAATCTTTTGTTAACTTTTTTCCCCCCCAGAGGGTGCATGTGCTCACTGGACAGAGACAAGGAGAGAGAGAACAAGAAAGCACCCCCTATGGGGCGGTCAAGCTGCAGTTCCCTTCTCCTACATCTCTCCCTCCTTTCAGGATTTTGGGGATGCGTGCGCATACACCAGCATGTTTTATAAGCCTCTGAATCTGGGACTTGAAGCACATAGGTAGCCATGTAGGATACAGCCACCGTTATCACCATGCCACTGGCTTGCCAGAGAAATACATATTTTTAAAAAGATTATTTAATTTTACATGTTATTATTAATTTTTAATTTGATTAGAGAGACAAAGAGAGAAAACGGAAAAGTGAGAAAGCAAGCCATCAGGTCCAGGACTCAGACCACAGATGGCCATGTGAGAGTCCAATGCCTTAACACCATGCCACTTGCTTAGCCCTGAGAAATTTTTTTTTAAAAAGAATTATTTAGCTTTATTTGTTTATTTTAATTTGTCCAGAGAGGGACAGAGTGAGAGAGAAAGAGAGAGAGAGAGAGGGAAAGTGAGAAAGCAAGCCTCCAGGTCTGAGACTCGAGCCACAGTTGGCCATGTAGTTCAGCGCCCTTATCCACCACCACAACACCTGCCAGCCCCAAAATATTTATTTTTAAAAGTTCTTCTATTTCTTTCTTCCACCAAAGTAGAGACAGAGATAGAGAGACAGTCACCCTCAATAGGATCTTCATGCTGTGACTCGCTCCCAGCTTCAGCCAGCTCAAGATCATGGGCACACAAACCTGGTGCATCCAGGGAGGTCTCTATATATGAACCCGAACCCTCCTATGTGGGTCAGCCTTGAAGTGTGTTGCATTTCCACTGCACCTCTGTCCAGTACTGAGTAAAGATATATTTCTTTTTTCTTTTTTTTTGGAGAGGTTTTTGCTATCGGGTACATATGCTTGCCAGAAAGACAGAGAGAGACAGAGAGATAGAAAGCGAGAAATCACCCCCCAGGGAGGATGGCCACACCACAATCCCTTCTCCTCCATTCTCCTCTCGAGATCTTGGGCACACATGCACAGGCGCCCAGCGTGAGTTTAAGCCACCGAGTCCGGGACTTGAACCACGGTTGGCTACATGGGAGTTCAGCGACATAGCCATTACACTAACTGCTGGTCCCAAGTAAAGAAATATTTCTAAGTTCCCAGTGTC